CCAGCCAGCGAATGCGAATGCTGGCTGGGGAATTCTGGGAGTTGAAGTCCGGGCATCTTCAAGTTGCCAAGGTTGAGAAACACTGGTCTAGAGGTCCAGAACATCAACCTGGCAGAAAGAAGTTGAAGATTAAGGGCTGAGCAAGCAGGACAGGATGACTAATGAAAATTTGCCCCAGCAGCTGCTCCAAAAGGCCACATTTTCATGCTTCTGTCTTCAAAACTTACCTTAGCCACTGCTGCTGGATCTCAAGGATTGGCTAATTAGAGGGGCCATTTAGAAATGGGAAGGGGGTTTATTTCCAAGTAACAATTCCTTCACTTCCTGCCTTCACAAGCCTTGGACATGAGATCTCCACAAGAACTAGTTCAGGATGGTCAAGGATTATTGTCAGGCCCAGGCACTGCAAAGTGGGGCTCCAGATAAACTTCTTGTGCACGTTTGGGGAGTCCTTGGCATTTTGCCTTATAGTTTGATCGGAATTCGTCTAAGGAATCGTAGGGAGTTAGCACCCATCACTCTCCTAGAAAAATGAAATATTTTAGGAAACATTAAAAGGACAGAATATTTTCCTTAAAAGGGAGGAAGAAACTCACCACCCCACACCCCAATTTCACCCCGCCTCAGGCTATTAAGACCTGAGCCAGTCTATTCTACAAACTTTAGGCAGAGCCATAATAGGAATCCCAAAGCCCTTTCATTACATCATCAACCAGCAAAGGCTCAACCAAGCCTGGGATGCAGGACAGCCTACAGAGTTGCCCCTGCATGGCCCAGTGGTGGGTTGCAGGCGGTATGCCCCGGTATGGGCGTACTGGTGCCTGCCGGGAGCACCGGGTACCGTTCCAGTATGGTGCTCCAGAGGGCCCACCCACCCGCCCGAGCTCCCTACCTGTACTTGAGCTCTCCGGCGCATCAGCTGAGCAGCTGGAGTGTCACGGAGGCGTCGCGGAGGTAAGGACGCATACACGTGCTGTGCACGTGCTTGTGGGGGATGTCGAGCCCCGTTGCACCGTACCGATTGCAACAGGATCCGGAACCCACCACTGGTATGGCCCCATGGGAGTCTGACAACCAATCAGAATACAAGCTCAAATGCAAAAGCCCAGAGAGGGCAAAAAACCAGGGACTTTCAGCACCTCTGCCCTTTTCCCAAAGGACCTCAAAATATGTGGTCCTGTCCACCATTAAAAACCATATTTCCAAGCAACTTCCATGAATCCAGTGTCTTTTTCCCCAGTTGGAACTGAACCCAGATGGACATTTCTTCCAACAGGATATAGGCATGCTAGGCTTTAGCCCCATTTAAATATAAGAGAAGGACTCAAGTTTGAGGAAGACCTCAGACCACCCATAAGTGTGTAAAGGTGTATGTGTGTGTAAGGATGTGGACTGCTGGCAAAATATCACTAATTTATATTTATAAAACTTTTAAAAATACATTTTACTTTGTCACTTTATTAGTCTAACAGTGTTATTGTAGGATTCAGCCAGACCTGAAATATTTAGGAAGATGGTGATGAAACATTTATTTTTAAAATAACATTTTAAATAGCAAGAAAAAAGCTATATACCTGACGATGGGCCCCACATAAGTCTAAAAGCTCAGAAGACAAAATCTCTGGTCCTAGTGACAACCCAGATTAGATCCTGCAACATTATCTTGGGACACGTATTTTCTCCTTCATTCGTGAGCTATATATTTGGCTTATTTAGAGATGGGTGATTGTACAGAGGTTGAACATCTTCCATATCTTGAATTCAGTTCTCCCCCCTCACACACACACACACACATTCTACACTCTATTCCAGTGTTTCTCAACCTTGGCAACTTGAAGATGTCCGGACTTCAACTCCCAGAATTCCCCAGCCAGCGAATGCATTCGCTGACTGGGGAATTCTGGGAGTTGAAGTCCGGACATCTTCAAGTTGCCAAGGTTGAGAAACACTGCTCTATTCAATTGTGTTTGATTCTTGGAGACTGCCTGGACAAGACCCTGCAGTTTTCTTAGCAAGCTTATTCACAATTGGTTTGCCATTGCCTCTTTCCAAGGGCTGAAAGAGAATCTCTGGCCCAAGTTTACCCAGTTGACTTTGTGCTTAAGGCGGGGACAAGAACTCACAGTCTTCTAGTTTGTAGCCTGGTGTCTTAACCACTATCCCATACTGGTTCTTCCCCAGGTTTTAAGTCTTGTGAAGTTGTTGGATAGGGATGGAAGGGATGGATTGGGATTGGGGTTTAATTTTGGGCTGAGGCTGTTTTCTCCCATTCTTGTTACTTCACTGTTGGGCAGGTGGGGGGCAGGATGTTGTTAGATTTCAGTGTGAAAGAAACCAAAGTATGCCAAGTGTGCATGTGTGTATGGGTAAAATAAAGAGAAACTGAGTTGAAACAAACAAATATGAAAAGCATTCAGAGGTCAAGAAGAAGAAAATACCAACACCTAAGTATGACTAAGGACGTGGTGGCTCAGTGGCTAAGGTGCTGAGTTTGTCGATCAGAAAGATCAGCAGTTCGGCAGTTCGAATCCTTAGTGCTGTATAACGGAGTGAGCTCCCGTTGCTTGTCCCAGCTTCTGCCAACCTAGCAGTTCGAAAGCATGTAAAAATGCAAGTAGAAAAATAGGAACCACCTTTGGTGGGAAGCAGGGGTGGGTTTCTGCCAATCCTAA